CCCTACTCCCTGAACCCTGAACCCTAAACCCTTTCTTGTCGTTCTGAAAGGACCGAGCCTTGCCGAGCGCCAGTGGGAAGCACTTCGGCCAACGGCCTTCAAGGGGAAAGCTTCTGAATTCTGGATGTTGGGGTTCGAACCGTTTAGGGTTTAGGCTATTTAGGGGGAGACCTGAGTATTCCTCTGCGCTTTCTAGGCCAGTATCGGGGCTTGAGTGGCTTGCTCCGTCGACTGATACGGCATCATCGGGCTTTATACAGCTGCCTTGCACAGGCCCGGGAGTATTCTGGTCCATGACGTTGTGCAGATTTCTGACTGAAACCCCTGCCCCGAGCCTCGAAAGCAGGACTCCCTCAACCCTATTACTAAACGGGGTGTTAGATCGGCAAGCATGGCATGAGTTTCGAGTATGGTTGGTGCTAGTAGGATCTTGACGTAATATAGGAGTCTGATTATGAAGCCTCGGGTCTTGATTCGGGCTCTTTATATGGATCCTAACAGTTCGGGGTTTTTAGGTCCACGGTTTCTGAACCAAGTCCCAACATTGAAAGCTTAAAGCTTCACGGGAGAAGGCCTACCCAAGTCTGCAGAACGGAAAATCCTACAACTCCTATACAATAAATCCCGAACACAGCCCTTAGAGATCCCTTTATATACCCTTCCAACGGACCTCTTTAAGGGACCCTGCTCCAATTCCTTATATGTAGCAACTGCTTATAGCTAGCATATTCTCTCGCCGAACCATAAAACAAGCCCTCTACAGCCGAAGCCCGAAAGTTACCCGTTTCCCTGCTTCTTGAGACCCACCACACCCAGGGCTTCGGGTTTCGGGTTTAGGGTTTAGGGTCCCGTACATTGATCCCGGTCTCAGGGTGTCGGCTTGCGGATGGTACCTCCCCGAACTTGACCTAAACTCTACAAGCCCTGCGAGCTTTAGGGAGCCCTTCAGTGCTCCGAAGGCTGAAGCAATCCGCAAAGCCTAAGTTTCACCCTCTACCCTCACCACCAATCTCCACAAAATCCCCAAATCCGGTTAGCCCTCTAACCTTCGACCCTAAACCCTATATCACATTCAACGAAGGACCCGTGTAAAGCGCCACGAAGCCCTGTAGAACCATATGAGACGAGCACAAACTCTAAACAAGGACTTACTCCAAAGCCATATGAAGGCCTATACACGAGACCCCAAACTCCCTAAGCCATACCTTAACCTACCAAAATCTTTGGTAGGTTCCTTATAATTTTGTTGACCTTGAAGGTCACGGTTTTCAGTAGCAGAGGCCATAGCTCTTCTTCTTCTATAAAGATTCGTGGTTACTACGTGTAGAACAAACTCAAGCAGACAACAAAAACCCGGTCCCTACTCAGA